AGGTGAAACGTCTTCAAGTAACTTAAAGAAGTCCAGACGCTTTTCTTTGCAAACTCCTTTGACTACAATGACCTGGATGACTGAGAACCTTCACAGACATGTTATGTTACCATGTTTACGTTACCATGTTTACGTTACCATGTTTACGTTACCATGTTTATGTTTCCTTACGGATTAAATTAAACGCTAAAAATCCTCACCTGTAATATTTCTGTGTAAATATCTCATATTACAGGTGAAACACATGTGGTGAGGCCCGTACAAGTACAAAATCGATTATCTTTCTATTAGCATGCAGCTTGTAATCAGGTGTGCTCTGTAGTCCGGGATTTACGGTAATCACACTTCATCATGTGTTGCTCCCTCTGAGAGCGGCGCTGCTGTCTCATGTGACACGAGGCCCCACTGAGCGTCTTGATGCTTCTCCACCATTCACAGAGTTCACAGGGGAGTGGCTGCAATCACAGCATGTAAGATGGTGACAGATGGACCCTCAGGCCCCCTCCTCCAGTCAGAGATGGTCTTTCCCCCCTTGGCTCCGCCCTCAAACCAGCGTTCCTCCCTGTCCAGGATGTTACATCCTCATCCTCAGGCTCTGCTGTGTCGGGCCGTCCGCTCACCGAGCAGTTGTTAAATATGAAAGCCGTATGAATCACATGATATAGATTTCACAGTCCAGCGTTTCTCATTCAATTAAACTTTATTCGTACAGTTGCCTCAAGCTGCTTCACACTGTCAGGCAGCTACAATAATACAGAGGAGGGAAGAAGGCAGTCGTCTGGGTGTGAAGCTGCACTGCAGAACAAGGACTACTGTGGCTACCTGCAGTCCAAGAAGGTGGAGCTGTCCGTCTACAAGATGACCAACTGATTATTGATTATTTATCGCCACAAAGGAGATATATTTGTATTATTTAGTTAGAAAACTGAGTGCATGTGAATCTGAGGGAGCTGCAGGCGTCCAGCACGTAGGGGAGGTTTGGGCTCAATCAGTCCCAAACAAACTAATATATGAATGCATTAATGAATCAGAGCATCTGTTTTAAACCCAGTGAAGCAGAAACACTAGAAGCTTCTCTGACAGCGTGCGGTGGAGTCGTCACGCTCAGGCTGTGCACTTTCCTGGGGAAGCAGGTAATTGAAATGCTGTGG